GTAGAGGATGGCAGCCTCTTTGTGGTGGACTTATCAACCCTTCTTTCACGGACAATTGATCGTAACATCCGCCTTCAATCGGATCCCCCAAATATGTACATACAAGCAAGATCACGGAAAATCGGACTGAAGCTCATAGAGATAGGACTCAACAGAATCACGTGATCTAGGGGACATTTCGAACCGTTGGGTCCTTGACTGTATTCTTTGGGTGCAAATTTTACAATTTATCAAAGCCGAATAGCCCACTATCCCTCCCCAGTCGAAATGCGCAACATGATTGGTGCGCTAGAGAGGAGAAACCCGGGGTATGGTTGTTCACGCACGCGATCATTCCGCCATTGTTATGGGAAAGGGAAATCGAGTGCAAAAGGGCTACACTTAAATGTAGGCGGAGCTTAATGTTGGCTACGGTAGGGTTACGCAATAACTTCTTGAGAAGAAAGTTCACCTGCGAATCGTTTTGCGAAGGCGAATGCGAATTTCTTGTTCCCGTCCAACTCACGAGCGAAACGTTGCTGAGCTTCTTCGCTCAGATCTGGAACAGATAAGTTTTTTGTTATAAAACAATCAAGGCCTAGGGTTCTTCTCAAGGCAACCGTGGTAGAATCTCCATTTTTGGTAAGCAACCTATGGAAAAATCCAAATTTAACCACAACACTTAACAAAATGATGACGTTGGGCCTTTCAAATTGCATTCCATTCGCGCAAATGGCAAGAGACTATGGAGGACGCACAGCAGATTCTGCCTGGCGACACGGCTACACGTAACAAGTTGAACTGTTGAATTTTACCTCTAATTTTTCCAGAGATGGAATCCAAGGAAGCCGTTCAGCCTTCCTTCGAAACTCAACACGATCAGCAGCAGAGATGAATCACCACACTGCCGCGCGCGGTGGTCCTGATTTGACGCGCTATCGCGCCCGGGATCTCCTGTCCCACACATGAGAAATATATAATATAATGTTTAGTTAATTTATGTTGTTCAGGATGTCTCCTCAAGTTTTCTCCGTCGTAAAGTTGGGTGGCACGAAAAGCTTGTTTCTAATCGAAACGAAAAGTAGAGGTGATAAAGGGCGCAGTGGTGAAGAAAACTATGCAAAATGGTCTGAAACCTGCAAAGCGAGACTCTTGTTCCCCCGCTGATTTCCGCTTTGAGG